CATGGATGGTTGGTCAGGGAGAGGTGGCTGTCACATAGGGACGTGGTGATTGTTTGCTCCCGGTGATTGGTTCATTGGTACCCTAGGGGCGGCGGTGGCTTGAGTGCTAGTGCAAGGATCTTAGCGAGGAGGAGGCGGATCCCATCAGCAGCGGCGGCCCTAGAGGTGGCGGCAGCGACAAGCAGAGGCGATGGCCATCCCAATGATGGCCACTGCCCTATGGGCGGTGCAGGCCTAGGAATCTGGTGAAGCGGAAGCGTATCCTATTGGCTCATGTCTGATCGGCAAGTTCTGATTGGACAACGACAGATGAAGGCGGGCTAACCGGCGACACGTGGTATCAGCTCACTTGAAGTGGATGAAGATGGCAACAGCGGAGGTTCGCAGCGATATATGGCGCACAAGGGACGGCGGCAACATGATGACTTCCACTCACCGAATCTAGCCATTTTAGGAGAGGATGTCGGGAAGCAGGATGTGCCAAGATCATAGTTTTTTCTTTTTTTTAGTTGTGTGTTCTCCTCTTTGTTGAGGTGTGAGTCTAAATGTTCTTGTATTCTTTTAGTTGTGTATATCCTTCATGGATATAGAGGCCAGATTAATGAAAATCCATCGTCTAAAAAAAATCCCAAGAGAGAGTCATCCTAGTCATATTTTGCTTAGTTGTGGGCGTTTTGGGCCAACAAGGACATCAATCCCTTCAATGAGGTCTATGTGACATCTGCCCCAATTTGAATTGTGCCCATGGTGGCCAATGTGTGTATGCTAATAAAATATTGTGATGGTTTAGTCTCACGCACATTGGTTATTGAGGTTCGGGTAGTGTTGTCATAGCCGGATTGAAATGAGCATCACTCGAGGATTGATTTGCAATGAAGAAGGGAAAGCCAGCATGCTTAGCCGGTTTCTGAAAGTATTGGGATTGAGGCATTTTTCTCCTAGACACATGGGTTGTGATCTAGTATTGGGATTGAAAGTCGTTAGGGTGCCAGGCTTTATTTTCTTTCTTGGTTTTGGCTATGTCCTTTGATGCAGAAGCTAGAGGTGGGTTAAGGATTATTGTGTCAACTCAATGTAATGATCTTGAATAAAATCCTTCCTGCATAAAAAAATAAGCTGAGTCAACTTAAATTCTTACTCGGCCAATGAACCCGAGTGAATTCATGCAATCGGCCAACCAATTTGAGTGACATTTTCTATCATCGACAAATGGAAACCTGTCAATTGAGACTAATACTCTATCATCTAACAGAGCACGCCAACAGTGGGAAATTGCAAGTGCTGGAAATTAATAGGCGGCGATCACAAATAATTTCCCCGATCTGTCATTCCAAATTGTGCCCTCTACACACCACTATGTGCATATCCTTCCCGTAAATTGTGCAACCACCTACCGCCGTTGTCTCTCATCACCTCCGATCTGCCGGCCCCAAAAAATTATCTTCCCTTCTCTAGCACATGGCACACCTCTGCGACATTTGGCACATTTTTTAATTATGCCCATGGTGGCAAGTGTGTGTTGATGTGAGATTAATGGAGTTAAAAGTCCCAAGAGGCAGTCTTCCTAGTCATGTTTAGCTTAGTTGTGGGTGTTTTGGGCCAACAATAACTTCAATCCCTTCAATGGGGTGTATGTGACATCCGCGCCAATTTGAATTATGCCCATGGTGGCCAATGTGTGTATGTTGATAAAATATTGTGAAGGTTTAGTCCCACATTGGTTATTGAGGTTTGGGTAGTGTTGTCCCAAATCTCGTCCTACACTCAATGGGCTATCACACCTGGATTCAAATGAGCATCACTTGAGGATTGATTCACAACGAAGGAGCTGTCATAGCCGGCTTCTGAAACCGACTTAGCTAGTTTCGTCATATCCACTGCGAAAAGACTAGAAACGCTTCCCAGGAAGGAGGCTGTTGGGAGGTGCACTTAGGGTTGTTCTATGTTGGCAAGGCCACCTACCATGCGGTACATCACAATAGTGGTCAAGGCATTTTTTTCCTAAGCACATGGGTTGTGATCTAGTCTCAGGATTGAAAAGTCATTATTAGGGTGCTAGGCTTTGTTTTCTTTCTTCGGTGTGGCTACGTACTTTGATGCAAAAGCTGGAGGTGCATTCGGGTTTATTGTACCATCTCAATGTAATGATCTTGAATAAAATCCTTCCTTCATAAAAAAAATATGAAAGTGCTATGCAGTATATCTAACCAATATATCCGATTATTAGCATACATTCCACAGTCTTGGTGTTCGTTTTGTTTTAAATGGAATTATAATAAAATCACATGTACAGGTTGTTCTTAAGAAAATAACAAACGTTAAAGTGAATCTATGAAAACAAAACAAAGTAGATACAATGCTCGATGTAATATAATATAATTAAGATAATTTTAATTATCGCCTTGCTAGCTGCTGCGCCTCATCTCTATAATAATGATGTTTGTCACAGGAAAAGACACAGAGTAGAACTTAGTCTATCATACTAGACTATCTAATCACATCACGACCTCATATACAATGAAGCAGTAAGAGAGGTTGATCTTTCTTCATGGGGAATATTTCTTTTAGAAAAATAGTTCTTTTCAACCATCAGTACAGGGTAGCAATAGCTAGGTTTGTGAAAACCGTGATGTGTTTGTTGGTATTAGTAGAAGTCCAGGGACTACAGCTTCAAAACCTAGAAATTTAGAGGGAATCATATATGGTAAAATATATTGCATATGGTGCTTATCACGGATCAGAGTGACAAACATTATTGTTAAGAATAATTGCAAGTGTAAAACTAAAGATATGCTAGAGGCAAGGTTGCACTCGATTGCCCATGAACAAATAGTGGGATACAATTATCTCTTGAGCTAGCTATGTTGCCTTTTCTTTCTAGCTGGTAGCCATGTGTCTAGTTAGCTGCTGGTGGTAGCCTGGAATGACCTGAAGCAAGTTAGGGCAAATTTATAGGATTCCAGCTAGTCGGATTCATCATTTACTAATCCATGATGGCTGCACAAAATAATTTGTTCCATTCATCAGAATCAGCGGTGAGCTTACTATGATTTAATCTGTCTCTAGAACACTGGTAAATAGGTGACCACGATTGGTAAATAGGTGACCACGATTTGCCAACATTGGCATGGTTGTCTGAAGAATAAAGTAAAGTTTCTGTTGGATATCTGCTGCTTCTGCACGCATAGCTCCTTTCAAGGCACTCTGTTGTTGGCCTATTCCATGTCACACGAATCCCTACACGGGAGCAATCATGTTGCCGTCAAATTGATGAAAGGCCTGCAATTTGTAGGCAGTGTTAATATTGTAGACACATATGCTTTTTGAATACTGCAATCGTCTGCATGGTCAGGCTATGTACGCAGCAGAAAGCCATATAGAGTGCAGCTCTTTGCATGGTTCACATCATCTTTGGTGCTGATGGTTATTAGGTCCTGTTTCTAACTGATTTTAATTATTACTATGTAGATTGTTCAACTGAGCTCGAACAAAAACCAATCCATGTACTAGATCGGAGATCGCCATCCATTTATCAGCCCCATTTGTCAAACCTTTTCCTATGTGCACACAACCAAGAAAAAAATGACTAAAAACACATTCATTGTCAATCCATATACTAGATCGCCCTCCTTCTATGCAATTTTAATAAATGTTTTCTTTATCAATGAAAAAAGTTAGAACATGTTTAATGTAATTTAAAATTTTTAATGTTACCGCTTACAATCTATCAGCACTAATAGTATTAGACTGAAAAATCTAGACATGGTAACCCATTCCTAGGCTATGCTTGAAATCCTGGTCACATATTAGTAGGCACTAATAGTATTTGATCTTTCTTTGGGAGAAAATGTCTAGAGATATACTTATCTATGTATCAAATGATATGAGTGCGCATTGTAGACATCGATAGTGCGTGTGGTAGACATCGAAGTGCGTGTTCGGTATGCATGCCAATCAGTCATCTTCTGGATATTGGCGACACAATTATGCCAATCACTTTATTCGCATGCCTATGTGTGAAAATATTCGAGGGGTGCTTTATAATTCTTAGCTATTTGTCAAAAAAGCACGCATGCACAAAACCCACTTACTTGTGGGAAGATATTCTTACTTTCACACAATGCCAAGCTATCTTTCTCCTATATATATCATAACTCTCTCCTTATAAGTAAATATGCATAGTCCGAAGCTGGCATGGTACTTGCAATATGTAAGGGCTCACAACTTCTTCCCTTATTTGATATGATATGCAATTGACATAATTTTCTTCATTGTCTAAGCTCTTAGCTGTATGACATGTCTCGGATTGTTTTTGGCCTTCCTTTCCCATTGGATTTTAGCTAGCTCTTAGCTGTATAACATGTCTCGGATTGTTTTTGGCCTTCCTTTCCCATTGGATTTTAGCTATATAACACTTATCCATATTCTTATGACTATTTTTTTCATCGGATGTATTCACTTCATAATAATGAACTAGTAATAATGAATTGTTGTGTTTGTTGGAAACAAAAGAAAGTTCATTGGTGGAGTAACCAAAAAGTGGCAAATCAGTATGCATCAATTATTTACACATCAGCTGTGTTCTGAGTATGTTAACTAGGTATTTAAAAGTGTAAATGAGTTGATAATTTTATTGCCAAGGACATAACTATGTTCAGTAATCGATTGGAAACAATTCACCAAAGTATTCAAAGTGACATGTTAAATGTGTGTATTGTTCACTCTTATGTTTACTGCTAGATAATTAAACAACCCAATTGGACTTGTAATTTTGTAATACTGTACGAGTATATATACTTCAATTTAGCACTTTAGGTTGTTAAATGTTTCTATAGCAATTGCTAAATATCTAATGTCTAGTTTTGTTCACCAGCTGCTATTCTTTGTAGCACAATTTTATTTGAATGTTGGGTTAAAATTAATCTCATAGCACTTCTTCATTTCATGTGTTTAGATTTTTCTTATGAAATAAATGTACATGGTGTATTCAGTGGGGAAAAATGATGAAGGCATATACCATTCTTATGGCCCTTTGCATGGTAGTTATGTTCTCTTGCAATGCCGTGGAGGGTGGTGGAGCATACATGAGGCATGATGCACTTTCACGCAAAGCTCTAAAAGAACAAAGCAAGATAGCAACTAGTGGCCTGAATCCTTCAGTTAGCAATTTGTCAGGTCAGGCATCTAGCAACGTTAATGGTGTGAACAATAACTCCGAAAGCACAAACACTAATATGTCGGGCACCGCTACAGCCTATACCCCGACGACTGCCACTACCACAGATTCCCACCATGACCTCTCAGTTGATCAGTACCGAAGGATCACCCACAACAATGAGAATAAGCCGTGATGAAGGATTCATATGTCAGGGCACTCAGTATCAACCATGCATAAGAATCTATGGATGGAACCATCTATCTAGTTTGCAAATTTAATTGTATGTTGTAGTTGTGTGTATTTCTGTAACAAACTTGTATTAGAAGATGCCTACTTTGTGTAACGGTATTTTCCATGTACTTCATCCATCTCAAGCATTGGATTCTCAAGGTTTTCCAATGCTCAGGAATGTACCATATATATTGGACTAGTACAAATAAAGCGGATGTTTATGGTCCACAGTAATGGTCAAAATACGTGACTTCATTTTCATAGTTGGGTTACAGTAAGGATTTCTGCATATCCAGCATATTACGCCAGTTAAAGAGGGAATTGTTGAGGTTAGATTTACCAATATTTCTATATTCTTCTTTCATACTACACCATTTTCCACTTGGTCCATAAGTTACCATCTCCGCTTGATTTAGCTCCACCGCCACATCGCTCTCTAAATTTAAGCTGAAGCTCCACCACCAGTATAAATAGCTGGTTGTAAATAGACATATACCACACAATAACCTGTGGAGCAAAAGTGCATTGCATGCTGGTATCCTTTGTGTATAAATAAACAGGGTGCCATGCCCCCTGTTCTCAAGAGTGAAGCAAGAGCCATTTGAAAAGAAAAAGGACATATTTTGTAAATTCCTGAAGCGTGCATATATTCCTGTGGAGACAAGGTAATGGAGTCGGCACCTAAGATGCAGCCGGTCGTCATCCTTCTACTCCTGCTCATTGTGGCCACCGGTATGTTCTAAAACAAAGACGTAGATTCTCTGCACATATATATTGTGACGCATGCATGATTTATATTATATAAAGAGTTATATAATTAAAACTGATTCTGGTTTGCACGCTGTATTCGCTTCTAATAATAATATATTCAATGTTATGTAGGTTTCTTACATATTTTTATATATATAGTAGGATTTTCTAGTGATAGTTCGATTATTTGCATATTATGTTGTATATTAGAAAATATATATGTAAAGGCCGATGATACAAGGGTTTGGTTTCGGATCACCTATGGTACGGTTGCCAAACCGCCCTCAAGATGTAAGATTTCAAGAGATTTTTGTTAGTTTGAGACAGTTGCAATAACCGGACTCATAAAAATCGATTTTGACAGTCTCTAATAATTGATTATTTATGGTAATGGGAGTTTTGATCCTAATAAGGCCTTGTTCGGATACCCATGTATCCACCTCAAACTATGTGTGTAGGAGTGGTTTGATGAGAAATTTAGTTTAAATTCCACACCAAACCAATTCAATGCACGTTGGATTGAGGTCAATACATGGGCATCCAAACAAGCTAATCGGTTTCCTGTGGTAGCACCGCATCTCGCGGCATGACATGTAGAGCCATTGTTGTAGGCTTGTGACCACCGCATCTTGTGGCCTAATTATGGTCTGTATGGTAATTTACAGATGCGTTCTGGCCTACCGTCTCTGCAAATGTTCCATTAACACTGACCTCTATTTAAGAATGCTTTCTGTACGTACAAGTGCACAAGATCGAGTTGCCCTGGTGCCCTTGTTTTGTACTATGTAACAGCAAGCATATATAACGTGTCTGTAGTCTGTACAATTCCTCTGTGATACTGACTGTTGTGCTTCTATAGATGTATGTGTCTGAGATATATATACATGGCACCTGTATTATTATATAGTACAATTCTTTATGATATACATACTGATCCCTAACCCGCGCTCTGCTGTGCCTGTATGTGCATGTGGATGATGACGAGATAGATATGGCGGTGCAGGCGAGGGAATGCGAGAAGAACAGCGAGCGATTTGTTGGGATATGCACGAACGACGAGAACTGCGCCACCGTGTGCCGTAGTGAAGGCTTCATGGGTGGCAGGTGTAGCACCTTCCGCCGCCGCTGCATCTGCATTAAGCCGTGCTAATTAAACCAGCTCGCTCGCCATCAACTGGATGAAGGATGATGCGCGCGCCTGCGACTGCGACTGCGACTGCGACCGTACCGATCGACCACCAGATGCCGTGCTAACTACTATCGGCATTTCATTTCGATGATGGTCTTGTGTTTCGAGTTATTTGCTTTATTTATTTATTTATTTATTTATTCCAACAATAAAACGTACTTGCAAGGAGATCTATGCATGCTTGCTTTATTATTTATGATGCTTGTATTCCTGCTTTATAATCTATATGAAATTAATGAATGATTGATTATTTGAATTGGCCCAGTCCCAGTGAGTTTTGTAGTTTTGGTATTTCGCATCCGTCGCCTGCATTTCTCTGTCTTGGATGCAGTGACAGACGACTCACACCAACAGTATGTAGCTAAGGGCCTGAAAAGCCCCGTACAGCCAATTACGTGACGACTTAATAAAAAGCTTTAAATATGTTTTGTCAGGTTCAGATTTCCCCACAAGTTTAGTTGTCTTACTTTAAGAGATTACTCTACTGAGGGCGAACCAATATGAAAAATCACAAGTTTTGTCAAATCTCTATCTCTACACCTAAAAAATAACTAAGCTTATCGTCTGCGTCCCTGCATAAACCCCGCCCGACCCCGCTCGCAAACCCTGTCCAGGCGACCCACGACCCATGTATTCCGCAACAGATAAGGCCCCGTTTCCAAAACAAACTCCGTTTCCGAAAGGCAAACAATCGTGCCATATACACACGTCTTATTGCTGCTGGGGCGATTTTATGTCGCCTCCCGCACTGGTTTCCAATCATGGATCGCTGTCCATTCTGACGCCTCTCCTCCACAGGGCTCCTCTCTTCCAGGCTGCAAAGGTGACTCACAAGTTCTCTTCTCTCCCTCAGATTTGCACTGAAAATTAGACTCTAATTTCTATGCACTTTCATAATTACTGACTAATCTAATCACGCTTTAATACTTGTCAATAGGTATACTTGGCAATGGTGCATGCAGATGAAGGAAACGATATCACGCCATCTTAGCCTCAAAGCCAATTGAGAAGGTGAGACTGCAAATATTTCAGAGTTGATAACATTGTACCTTTGGGTGGTACAGGCCCATCTCTTGTTCAATTGCTTATATTGGTCATCTGTTCCCTATGTTTCAGTGTGATAGTAGATTGAGACAAGCTATGAGCTTCAAGTCAATATATGAAGAAACAAATGTACAACAATCACATGAGAAACCTTTTCAATCAGTATAGAATAACATCCTTTCTCTTTCAGTTCAGGTTCAGGGACACGTGACATGTAAGAAGACATTGTGGCCTAGGTGTGAATTGATTTTTTTTTTAAATAGCAACCAACGAACCACCTTCCTCCAATGGTGTGGTCTGAAACCAGCAACATGGTCTAGACAGCAGTGCCTCCAGACAGTCAGATATCACAGACATAAGCTGCAGGCACGTACATCCCTGTAGGCGTGGGCAAAAACTTACAGCTCCCGTGCAACGGACGGGCATGATTCTAGTAATGAAAAAATATTAATTCAACATTACTACCTTGAATTGATAAAATATTTTTGAACCCACCAGCGGCACAATGGCCAAATTTAACCTAGTTCAAATATGCTTGTACGTCACCGTCACCACACTAATGACATTCGAAACAAACTAAACTCGATAATCTATCAAGCCCACCAAAAAGGACAACCTAAAACATTCACTTCTCATTTTTCATGACGTCTAGGATCATAATATGTAAGTCAATTTTACAACATTTCACCAACATGTAGTTCAAATATATCTCATACTCCATAGTGTAGAAAGGAATAGGGAGAACACCTCACACCCGATAAGGAGGGGTGACTTTCATATATATATAGCCATAGCACTACACCACAACCCACCTTTCCCTACAATTATGTGTTGGTAAATCAAGGGTTTTGGCAACACATAATGTGTTGGCAATTCTTTACTTTTTTAGCGTCACTTAAACTGTCGGCAATAGTAATGTAAGGCTACAACTTATATGTCGGCGTTTCTCCTTCCAACACATAAAGTGTCGGCGAAAGTTTTTAGACAAAAAAAGTGTCGTTGTAGCCTACCTAAACCACTGTCTAAGTGTCGGCGAAGGGGGTAAGCCACTAAAACAGGAGACCCACCCTTCATTCCTTACTTCCTTTCCACTTCCCACCCCTCTCCCGCTGCGTCGCCTCCCCTTCTCTCCCCTTCCCTCCCCTCTCCCGCTGCGCCACCAACCCTAGCCAATGGCGCCCCTAGCCGGCGCGCCCCCTCCCCTTCCCTCCCCTCTCCCGCTGCGCCGCCAGCGGAGCGGGCCACCCGGGATGGCGGTGGCGGGACCCTCCTCTCGTCTGGTAGCCTCGCCCGAGCCACATGGGGCTCGACGAGGCCGCCTGGCCGTGACTGCGACGACGCCAGCCAGAGGCCTGGGCAGGCACAGGGTGGTGGTGACGGCGGCGGGCTTCTCTTCCACTTCTTCCCCTCCGTCGTCCCCTTTCCTCCTCGCATGGCGGCGCCGACGGGGCTGGCCTAGGATGCTCCAGGGCCTGGGCTGGCAGATCCGGTGCTCTGGTGGCCGGATCTGTCACCCCCAGGTCAGGGGGCGGCGCCGGCGGTGGCGAGGCAGTGGAGTGGAGAGGGGCCAGCGGTGGAGTGACATGTTTGGCTGTGCATTATTAGGATTTTTGGTGGCTTAACAATTGAACCTTTTAGGTGAGTACATTTGCAGACATGGAGGGTGAAGAAACATTTGATTCATCATTCCTTGGACATGCTGATGAAGTTGTGGAGGAAAGAATTGCTGATGATGATGTTATTCTGGTGAAAGGCACAAAGAACACCAGCGCGGTTTGTACTTTTTCCATACCAATTTTAAGCAAGTTTGCTATAGGAGGAACAAATTTAATTTGAAGGTAATTGCATAGTGCTTGATGATTTTCTATTGTGCAGGTCTCTATAATACTTAGAGGTGCAAATGACTTCATGCTTGATGAGATTGACCGGTCCTTGCATGATGCCCTGTGCATTGTGAAGACAACCCTGGAATCAAATATGGTAATCCTTGTGCTTCTATTCTTTCATGTCATCATATGTTGGTTACCTGCAGCTGAATAAATCAATGCTTAGTGACAACTTTCACTGTTCTTCTGTGGCTTGTGCATTTAGGATTTTTCATGCCTGGAGGAACCTTAGAGTTCAAAATGCAATTTGATTTTATTTATGAGTGGACAAATTCTAATTGTTAGTATCATTGATTGTGCTAGTGTCTCCAACATGTTTTGTATTGGGTATGTAGGTTGTTGCTGGTGGTGGTGCAGTTGAAGTTGCGTTGTCAGTTTACCTGGAGAACCTTGCAACAACCCTGGGTTCTCGGGAACAACTGGCAATTGCTGAATTTGTTGAATCTTTGTTAATCATACCAAAGGTTTGTATCTGTTCTATTTAAGTAATACTTTACTTTTTTTCACCAATCAACATAGCATATTAATGACCTGACCTTGCACCAACAGGTACTATATGTTAATGCTGCAAAAGATGCAACTGAGCTTGTAGCAAAGCTTAGGGCATATCATCATACTGCTCAGACAAAGGCCGATAAGCAACATTATTCAAGGTAATGAACTAATGGCATAACATTGTCTTCAGTTATTTGATTAATAGAGCCCTTAATTCTTGTGTTTCATTTCTAAAGTTCAACTACGGTTTATGCAAGTAGTTCAGATCTGGCAAGTAGTTGTAGTGGTCAACTACGGTTTATGCAATGTGTCATCTGTGTTACTTTGATATTATCTTTGGCTGTTGTTGGACATTTTGTCAGCTTGAATGTAAAGGCTTATTCTTCAATTGAATTATGATTGCTATTATAAAGTTGTACTCCTTCCAAATTATAGGTCACTTCAACGTTGTAGGAAAATGCACCAACATCATTTCATTAAATCCACCATGAAATATTTCTTGATAGTTTTCTTATTTTTGTCTTTGCATACATCAATGTATTTTTCTATAACCTGGTCGAAGTTAGAGAATTTTGAATTAGGACAAAGCTAAAGTGATCTATAATCTATAATTTGGAGCAGAGGAGTCTTTTTCAGTTATCATGATGCATGTCGATGTGACAATGCTGTGAAGTGTGAACTAATCCGTATGGTGTGATTAAAAGTGGTAGTTCTTTAATTAGTCAAGGAACAGGAAAGATAGCTTATAAGCTGTGCTAACCATTGTTGTCAATTGTCATTAGTATTAGTTTATAAGATTTGTACTATGCATTTCTATTTGACATTAATGCTATCCCATTGATGTTATCTAGTAAAAATATAGTAGTAGTATGTAGTAAAACAGTGTCATTATCCCAGGAACCATGGTAGCAATGGTATCCCGCTGAGAACAAGCAACTGCCAAGCGTGATGCGAGGGATTCTTCTACCCCCGCGGTCTTACTTGCATGCTCCGTGAGTTTCATCTCTCTGACAAGTTCACACTTTTCATCTTATTGGCGTTAGCAGGGTCAGTAGTCTCTTCAAGGTCACCATCATCGTCTGACAATTCCTTTGATGTACTGTTGGCTGGCTTGCCTTGAAAATCATCATCTTCTATGACATTAGAGTTTGTAACTAGGCCTGCCCCATCTATGTCACCTATGTGTAGAATTAAAGATACGAAAACAGTACACATGCAAAGCATATCTTCACCTTTGCCCGCCAAGATGCAAAACTGGTGCCAACAGAGTTGCATTACTAAAGGCTGACTCATCAATGAGTTGATGTGGTATTCGAAGATAGCTGAAGCGAGGATCGACTTCATTTTTCAGCCTTATATCTGATCTCACCAACTTTGCTCATAGTTTAGATCATTCTTCCGAGAATTATCAATGGGACACATCAACCTCAACCAAACCACAAAGATAACCAGAATTGACATTTCTACTCACCTCCTCCTTGGGCATCGGTTAACCTATCCCTCTCGAAAGCGCTTTGGTGAGATCGGATCTTTCAGTATGTAATTATCACGAAGACTAACCTCCGATGAATGGTTCACACTTCACGATTACTCAAACCAAAATTTGGTAATCAAGTGTACTAGGATAAGTGAAATTTGCATCTAATGTCCTATTGGAATGATCATTTGGGAGATGGTGAGCTCAATAGGATTTGGCATCTAACATGCTTTTAAATCGAGACCACATCCTGTTATCCTAAGGCACTACTTCCTTTGGAATCTTCCCGCCTGCATGTTTACCCAAGTTGGTTCATAGGTGACAAGCACTCAATTATGAGAGGTCATAAATACTATCAAAGGAAGCTTGAGAAATCAATTTGAAGTATCTGAAGCTTGTGAGTTGGGTAGCCCAACGAAGATTCTTGTGATTTAGCTTCACGAAATGGACTTACATAAACATTCACGCAACTAAGGGGCAAAGGGTTGGGTGCAGCCATTACACGAGGTTTCATCCTTTGTTAAGCTCTGGAAAGCCACTAGTACCGCACATCCTTACCCACATAATATAAGGAAAAATATACATAGCTTGAAGTTTTGTGGAACCATTGGATGCAATGGTCAATAATTCCTTGAAAACGCCATCGAGGGAGAGGATGCCTGCAGACCCGGTTTATATGGATGCGAGGATGGGCTTGCGCCACCAATCCGGTTCAAGATCCGGGAACCATGGTAGCAATGGTATCCCCGCCGAGAACAAGCAAGCGCCAAGCGTCATTGCGAGGGATTCTTTCGCCTTGTGGTCTTACTTGCATGCTCCGTGAGTTTCATCTCTCGACAAGTTCTAAACACTTTTCATTTTTGTTGAGTGTCGGTTATTATATTATATTAAGTAGTTCGGAGAAATCAGTTTATTGGCTTATGATGAAAACTTCAAAATTCTTGGAGCTTGCATAGTGGTAAATCCTCTTGCATGCTTTTGTAAATTTTAGTAACTTAAAGACTATGTTTGTGTTATAAAACAATGTTGTAATCAAGCGCATTGCATGGTGCTTGTACTCTTGCTTCTTATCATATACAACCGCTCAGGGGTGCATTGTGATTCAAACTTTGCCATTCTACTTGGGGTGCATTGTGCCTGCTTTGCTTCTTATCATATTGAACTTCTCGGACAAATTCCTCGGCATCCGCGAATGGAGGAAAGCAAGATCAAGGGAGAATGTCATTCAATTTGGCTCGGCAAGCATTTGAAGGCGCAAAAGACGGATGGAAGGCCATAAAATAGTTTGCAAGGACGCATGTGAATGGTATGCGAGGTCATCTTTCACGCACATTTTCACGAAGGTCATTTAAATCGTGAGGTCATCTCTTAACTTTATCCATAATCGTTAGCACAAGACTTGTAGTATATGTCTATATATGTCTTACGGTGGCTCGTCTATATCCACGGACTTATATGTATGGCTCATGTACTATGATCATCACTTTGACTTGCAATATCCATTTGATGTATGTATGGAATATTTAATATATTATTTCTACAAAATCAAGTGAATTTGCTCAATGTGATGCCTTCTCTATGAACAAAAGTGGATTTGTCAAATCATTCAAATTGAATTGATATCTATATTTGCTATATAGTTTTGCCAACGGTTTCTTGCTGACGAGGGCATGTTTCAAAAAATGTTTGGAAATAGTTTCGCCAACATATAAACTGTCGGGAAAGGTCTTCACTGTCGGCGTAGGTCTTAACTGTCGGCAAAGGGTTAACTGTCGGCAAAGGTTTTAAATCGTCGGCGTAGGTAGACCGTTTGCCTACACACATAAAGTGTCGGGATTACATTAGCGTCGGCAAAAGTTTCGCCCATGGCTTCTAGCGTGACTGTTTCTAAACTGTCGGCAAAACTTTTCGCGGGAGGTTATCTGTCGGCAAAGGTACCCTTTGCCTACAATAAAAAGTGTCGGCAAAAGTATGTTGTGTTATAGTGTAGGGCCGTCATTACTATATATAGAACTACTACCCTGTAGCTGGCTACAAAATAACTTATTCTGTAGCCACTTTGAGTTACGATAATTACTATATTAATTTACGAGATTATAGTAACTCCATACTAAGTGGTTTACTGTAACGTTATGGTAAATATCTCCATGTGTTATAGTAACCCAACTATCGTAAATATGTATTGACATTATCGTAAATTAGTATATAAAATTATCATAAATGGAGGTGGCTACGGAATAACTTATTTTATAGCTGGCTACTGAATATAATATAATTGTACATGCAGGCCCTTAGTCATGACATCCGCGAACTGATGCGAGGACAGCACATGGAGAACACGAGCTTCACCAAGGGCGACCTTCTCACAGACGAAGTGAATGTCGATCTCGATGTGTTTGGTCTGGCGATGACGGACGAGGTTTGTTGTCATGTATACAGCACCGATGTTGTCATAGAAGACAAATGTGGCGGATTGTAGTGGTAGATAGAACTCCTGGAGAAGCTGGCGCAACCAGCAGCACTCGGCGACGACGTGGGTGATGGCATGGTACTCTGCTTCAGCACCGGAGCGGGAGACAGTGTTCTGACGCTTGGACGACCAAGACACCAAGTTGTCACCGAGGTAGACACAGTAGCCCGACTTGGAACGGTGGGAGTCGGGGCACCTTGCCCAGTCTACACCTGAGTATGCCGTGAGAGGTTAGACATGGTCGGTGCCATTGTGAGACCAGCAGAAAGACTGCCCTTGACGTAGCGAAGAATGCGCTTGACGAGGGCAAGGTGTGGCTCTCGCAAGTCATGCATGAAGAGGCACACCTACTGGACTGCATAGGCTAGGTCCGGGCGTGTGAGGGTGTTATTAAGGGTGAAAGTGGTGTTGGCAGTAGGAAGAGAAGAAGTGCCATGACATCAAATAGGGATAGTGTGACCATTGCCAATTGTGATGAAGGAATGAGAAGGAGGTAGGCGAGAGAGGAGTGTACCATCAGAAGATGACATGTGAGAAGTCGTGCCGGTGTCAAGGACCCAAGCGTTTGCCTACTACAAGGTACATGGTGGATGACGTGTTCGTGTGGGCACAAAGGCCACAAGGGTCTACGGAGCCGGCCCAAGGATGCTGGGGCCACATCAGGCCGGGTGCTGTAGCTGCTGGCAAGGAAGAGGACCAGAGGTAGAGGGAGTGGTTGACATGGTGGGCTAATGAAAGGATCTAACAATGCCTAGAGGAGGGGTGAATAGGCTTATCTAAAAATTTACTGCAAATGCTAAGTTCAAATTTGTCAGTAAATGTCAGAAGTCCCGACAGTTTGGGTCAGAACTCCCGACGTCGTCAGAAGTTCCGGCACAAACGTCAAAAGTCTCGACGCCTACGTGAACTACAAAAGCAGTGCCAAATTTAACTTTGCAGATAAATAATCTTACAATCCCACTTCCTAATGGTTTGGTGAAGATGTTGGGCCACTCCCTTGACGCCGAAATGCCTCCAAACCATAGATCGAGTCCAAACCCTAAAATGAAGTTCAGGAGAGAGAGACAAGCAAATACAAGTAATCTCGAGCAAACACAACAACAAGCACACGGGACACAAAGATTTATCCCGAGGTTCGGCAAACCCCACAAAGGAGCTCCTATGTCCTCGTTGTTGAGGTGACCACAAAGGTCGGAGTCTCTTTCACCTCCTTGCCTCTCTCAAGGTCACTTTAGCTTTCCACTAAGAAATCAAGGGTAATACAAACTTCCCAAGGCTCTTCCACAAGATGGAAGCTCTTGGGCAACGCCTAGCCGGCTAGGGGCAAAGCCCCAAGGGTAATAGACGCAAATCCAACTGACTTGACGAAGAAATCAAGTGCTCAAGCTTGCCAAAGTGATTCTCTCACTTAATCCACTCTCCTTTCACTCAAAACCCTAGGGGAATCGAAGA